GGTTTATAAATTTAATATACATAATAGCAGCTTCCCTGGGTTTGCAAGGGGGAGTCGCTGCAGCCTAGTGCCTAAGGTGAAGGTTTGTTAAAGAAGGCATTGGTGAGCAGCGGACGGGGGAAATGTGAGGGTTTGGTTTATATATTTAATTTACGTAATAGCAGCTTCCCTGGGTTTGCGAGGGGGAGTCGCTGCAGCCCTAGTGCTTAAGGTGAAGGTTTGTTAAAGAAGGCATTGGGCTTTTCATCAAATGACATTCAACCGTCGCTCAGAGCTTTTTAGGTTTGAATTCCTTCTTTTTCAAATTCTGTGTTTGCAGCTCAGATTGAACCCCAAACTCACTGCGGTGAGCGCAGCGATGGGAATAAAGTGCCTGTTTTCACAGAGCAGTGATAGCTGTCGCCGTGTTGGATCCCCCATTGAACTGAAATTGAAGAGTGTGTGCCTTTAGAGGTGAGGGCTTTGTCTCAATCAAGGTGGATTTGGGATCAGAAGGTGAAGGTCCAGTGTTAGGAGATTCTGGGAGAGTTACTGGGAGCTTCAGCTGGATGTGTGGACACACCAGCGTGCGGAGGCAGCCGGGAGAGAAGACTTTCCAACACCCAGCCTAAACCCTTCCCCTCATCAACGGACTTTTCTCTCCCAGCGTCAGTTTCAGAAAATCCTTTTGGGGCACCTGTGTTTTTTATCAGCTGGAGGAATAAGTGGTGTCTCCAGCCCGTGAAGCCTTGGGAGCCCGGGAGAGCGCGGTGGGTGGTCGGAGCCCATCCAGATGAGGAGTGAGCACGGCCTGGGCCAGCACCTGGAACGTGTCTGGTGCTACAGAACCATGGGATTGTCCAGGTTGGAAGGGACCTTTCCGTGTTACTCGAGTCATCGTGACTTCTGGTTGTCCCCCTCTCTGGGAGAGCTGAGGCTTTTGACAAAACAACCCCGCTCTGTGCTAAAATGTTTGCTGCTGTCTGAGCTAAACTTGGATCAGGGCGAGATGAAAGTACACCAAAATTACGCAAGATAAGCTGTATTTCACTTCACTGTCATGACTTCTGCGCTGCCTTGCGAGGAGACGTGCCTGCGTTGTGTCTCCCCTTTCAGCAGACCCCGAGAACTGCTGGGAAGTGCTCCAGCTCCTGTGCTGTCCCCTGGGGTCACACCATTAACACCGAGTGGGGTTCCAGCAGGAGTCCAGCAGCTGGATTTCAGGTCGAGGGGGTGCTTCTTCCAGCCCAGGGAGCTGAGATCCTCCAGTTCCCGTCCTGTAACGGTGGGGGACAAGTGAGGTTTAGAACAGGAGCCCCCTCATCCCCTTTCTGCAGCATAAGACCAGTGGAGAGTGATGTTCTCTGTGGAGACCAGTGAGTAGCGGTGTTCCTCAGGGGTCCATACTGGGACTGGTGCTGTTTATTGTCTTTGTTGGGGACATGGACAGTGGGATTGAGGGCACCCTCAGTGAGTTTGCTGGTGACACCAAGCTGTGTGGGGTAGTGACACGCCAGAGGGGCAAGATGCCATCCCAAGGGACCTGGAGAGGTGGGACCGTGTGAACCTTATGGGGTTCAACCAGGTCAAGTGCAGAGTCCTGCCCCTGGGTGGGGGCAATCCGTGGTCCCAGGCTGGGGGTGGAGGGATGGAGAGAAGGGGCTGGGGGAGGAAAAAACTGGCCATGGGCTGGCAACCTGCGCTGGCAGCCCAGCAAGCCCCCTTTGTCCTTCTTGTGGCCCCTTCCAGTCCCTAAAGGGACTCCAGAAAAGCTGGGGAGGGACTCTGGATCAGGGAGGGGAGCCATAGGAGGAGGAGGAAGGGTTTGACACTGAAAAGAGGGAGATTGAGGTGAGATCTGGGGAGGAAATTCTTCCCCCTGAGGGTGGTGAGAGCCTGGCCCAGGTTGGCCAGAGAAGCTGTGGCTGCCCCATCCCTGGAGGGGTTCAAGGGCAGGTTGGAGGGGGCTTGGAGCAACCTGGGCTGGTGGGAGGTGTCCCTGCCCAGGGCAGGTCGTGGGACTCAATGGCCTTTAAGGTCCCTTCCCACCCAAACTGCTCAGTGATTCTACAAGCAATCACCCCAAGAAAGGTCCTTACCCTCATTTATATAAACTCTTTGAGGTTTTAAGAGGAGCATTAATGTCTAACGAGTCTGACCTTGATGGTCAGTGCTTTGGAACCAATTCTGAAGAGGAGAATAACTAAAGCTGTAGAAGTAGATGGAAATGGGATAAAATACAGCCTGAGTCCACCTCTGCTCTGGAAGCGGGATCCCTTTGTGGATAAAGGAGCTGGGACAGATCTAATGCGTCTGGACTTTGTGCAAAGCATTTGATCCGCTGCCGCATGGAAAATCACAAATGTAAGTGGAGAAGCTGCGGATTAATATAAGAATTGTGGGGGAGGGACTGGCTAAAGCAGAGCCAGCCCTTAGTTTTTGGAAGGTCGCTCCGGTCTGGAGAGAGGTCACGGCAGAGCTGCTCCCAGATCCCATCTTGGAACAGTCCTTTCTGAGTGCGGTTTTTGTAACGACTTTGGCGCAGAAGGTGTGGGGAGGAAATCTGCACAAAATGCTGTTGGGCTTTGCTAAAAGAGCAAAGGTTTGGGATGCTGGGCAGAAAAAACAGGCACCCGTGAGGAGCGGAGTAATAGAAATGCGGCAGAATTTGGTTAAGGCCTGAGCAGGGTTGATTTGGTCCTAAGTCTGCAGATAACCCTGTCACACACGGACTCTGTGTGTTGGGCACGTGGGTGTGTGGGGGTGTGTGTGTGCCCTTTGGGGGTGCCATGACACCAGGAAGGGAGAAGATCTGGGTAAGCGAAAGGTGGTTGGTGTGAGTGCAAGGAAATGTGCATAAACCAGCCATAAACAGCCTGGAAATGGGAGTATTTGTAATAATTGCAGGGAGAAAAGCTCTGGTACAGTGTGAAAAATGCAAAAGTTTGGATGAATCTTGAAGTTACGAAGAAAATAGGATCATGGAATTGTCTGGGTCAGAAGGGACCTTCCATCTCCTGGAGTCCAACCATGGACCCAGCACTGACCAACCCACTACTGACCTGTGTCCCTCAGCACCACGTCTGCCCGGCTTTTCAATCCCTCCAGGGATGGTGACTCCACCACTGCCCTGGGCAGCCTCTGCCAAGGCTTCACAACCCTTTCCAGGGAGGAATTTTCCCCAATCTCCATCCCAACCCTCCCCTGGCCCAACTTGAGGCCGTTTCCTCTTGTCCTAATCACCAAAGTGATTCTGACAGCATTAGATCTGAAGGCTGAGAGCCTGTCTTCAGGTCCCTCATCGTTTTTTTTAAGTAGTCTCAATTATTTAGGTTTAATGCTGTATTGCATTTGCCCAGGGACTTATAAAATAAGATGTGTCTGTCAGAAAATCACATCTTGTGGCTCTTTGGTGTGATGCTCTTCAGTCAGTTCAGGAGACCTTGGTGGTGTCTTTTCCCTGGAGGTCCATGCTGGGTGGTGGTGGCGGTTACTGGTACAGCAAGACCTGGTTTGACACTGAAGTAGCAGCCGCTGTTTGTGCCAGTGCTTTCATGGAGTCACTGATGAACTGGGGGGGACTTTGGGGTCCTGGAGCCCCCGTCCCCGTGCTGTCCCATGGGTGGTCTGGCCCGGCCCTGCCACTTTCCTTTTGAACTCAGATTCTCATCCCTTTGGGACCGTGCAACGACTTCTCCGTGTCTCCTCGGGCTTGGCTCCCCCACTGCTCCGTGCTGGCGGGACGTGGGATGACATTAGCAGGAGGATGGAGCAGGACTTCATCACAACACAAAATCCGGGTTGTAAAAGGGCATTCGGGGGTTTCTTGTGTCGCTTTGCCAGAACGAAAATCCCTTCTTGGGCTGTTTTTGCAGATGCTCATGTTGACAGTGCGATTCCTGCTCCGCTGCCAGAAAGGTAATAGAAACCAGACTTGATAAAGCAGCATCACAGAACTGAGAGCCAAGTGGCTAATGTCATCCTCGGCTACTAGTCAAGATAGTTATAGTAGTCAAAATAACTAGTGCTTCTCAGCGTGCGCTGCTCTGATGGCGAGAACTGCTTTTCCAAAATCTAACGGCACAAGCACCTCAGGGTTCCGAGGGGCAGGAATGTTTCCTCCTGCCTATTCCTGCTTTTTTGTGTTTTTTTAAAATCAACATGTAGAAAACTGGTTTCGATCACAGTGAAAAATTAAGAGGTGTGAAGTCAGGGTTGCTCCTGGGGAGTGGCCCGAGACCTGCGGGACACAGAATTGTCTCCGTTTGTTTGCAGATGTTGATGTTGAAAGTCAGACTCAGCCCGGTCGTCTCCATCTCCTGGGAGGATGGTTGGCTGGTGCTGTAGACACGAAAACAAGTGAATGGGGACAAGTTGGGGGAGGAATATCTGCGGTTGCACAAACTGAGAGCTCTTCTTCGGAGCCTGCTCAACCTCCCAGGGTGGGTTTTTAACTCTCTGGGGAGTTGTGCTCTGCTGGTTCTTCCACATTATTAGCTTGGTCGTGGCAGAAGGAGTGAGGGGTGGGCTGTCTGTCCTCCAGACCTGACAGACACCTGTTGTTCTTCAGGGCTGAGCACAAGGAAATGACCAGGAGCCAGCAACGTGCCTTTGTGGCCAAGAAGGCCAATGGCATCCTGGGGGGCATCAGGAAGAGCGTGGAGAACCTCCAGGGAGGTCATCCTGCCCCTCTGCTCTGGGGAGGCCACATCTGGAGCTCTGGGACCAGTTGTGGGCTGCCCAGTTCCAGAAGGACAGGGAACTGCTGGAGAGGGTCCAGCAAAGGGCTCCAAAGCTGCTTTTGGGCCTGGAGCATCTCTGTGCTGAGGAAAGGCTGAGGGACTTGGGTCTATGTAGTCCAGAGAAGAGAAGAATGAGGGGGGGTCTGATCAATGCCTCTAAATACTGGAAGGGGGGGGTGTCAGGAGGATGGGACCAGTCTTTTTCCAGGCATCTCTCTTTCCATGGAATGGTGGTTGATAACATTTTGGCTTGTTTGTGGTTTGTTTTTTCTTTGACAGAGTGGAAGCAGCTTCCATGTGTTTGACCAAGGCCAATTTGCCAAGGAGGTGCTTCCAAAGTACTTCAAACACAACAACATGGCCAGCTTCGTACGGCAGCTCAATATGTGTAAGTATCTTCTGTGCTGCTCGGGGCACAAACAGTAAAGTTTGTCCTGAATAAGGTTCCCCTTTTCTACCTGGGTTTAACATTGGGGCCATTTCACTGAGTTGGGGCCATTGCTGCCTTTAGGACCACTTATTTTTAGGGGGAGCAAGTGGTAGTTTTAAGCTTGGCCTTTGCTGAAAGGAAGAGCAACTTCTGAAACTGCAAGTTTCTTCTAAATGTAAAGAACTTCAGACTCTGGGGCTTCTTTTATCCTGAAATGCCCTGATGATTAGCACAGGAGTTCTGAAGGCTTTCCTTGGGATTGTCCATCGTTAGCGTTGGGGAGGGCACTCTGCCATTCACATGTCACAAAGGAGGACCTCCTCTGGAGTGCTTCCAGTGGGAGAGAGGACCACTGCCTGGGGCAGCTTCTTCACTTTCTACTCACTGTCTTGAGAGGATGTTGCTGCTGGCATCATGTAAATCTCTCCATGGAATGGTTTGGGTTGGAGGAGACCTTGAAGACCGTCTGGTTCCAACCCCCTTGCCCTGGGCAGGGACACCTCCCACCAGCCCAGGCTGCTCCAAGCCCCATCCAGCCTGCCCTTGAACCCCTCCAGGGATGGGGCAGCCACAGCTTCTCTGGCCAACCTGGGCCAGGATCTCACCACCCTCAGGGAGAAGAATTTCTTCTACAAAGCAATAATTTAAAAAATAATCCATAGAATCAGAGCAGAATGGGCTGGAGGGACATCGCAAACTTTGACTCTGATCCTCTGCTTCTGGGCAGAGTCACCCACCTCTGTTCCTCCTCTGACTTTGCATCCAGCCCCGTTGGTGAGGACAGCCAGGCAGCGGGGGTCATTGCTGAGTGTCCCACCCCAGCCTTCCCAGGGCAGGTCCCACCCTCCACTTCTTTCCTGACTGCTGTGGAGACAGAGAGATGTATTCCTTGGGAACCTCATACCTCTCCTCACTACTCCCTTTTTTTCCTTTCCTTTTTTTCCTTTCCTTTTTTTCCTCTCCTTTTTTTCCTCTCCTTTTTTTCCTCTCCTTTTTTTCCTCTCCTTTTTTTCCTCTCCTTTTTTTCCTCTCCTTTTTTTCCTCTCCTTTTTTTCCTCTCCTTTTTTTCCTTTTTCCCTCGCTCCCTCTCTCCCTTTTTCGCAAAGTGCCTGGTTTTTTAATTCTCACAGGTGTTTTCCAGCCATTAATCACTTCATTCCTTCCTGAGCTGACTCTGTTCCCTCCCCGTGCAGAATTGCGGTGCCCAGCGCTGGGTGCGTCGCTGTGTGGAATAAAAAGAGTGTTCCACGTGTCCTGCAGGCGACACTTCTGTGTGTGTCCCGTCATGGCCTTGGCCTTTTCCTCAGCAGCGTGACATTGACTTGTTGTGGCTGCCCCATCCCTGGAGGGGTCCAAGGCCAGGCTGGATGGGGCCTTGAGCAACCTGCTCTGGTGGGAGGTGTCCCTGCCCAGGGCAGGGGGGTTGGAACTAGATGATCTTTGAGGTCCCTTCCAACCCAAACCATTCTATGACTTTTACGTTCAGCCCATGATCCCCCCCACCATTCACCCCATCTCCCTCCCTGCCGGTTTTCCCTCCCGTATTCGTTTTTTCTCCTGCCTCCGCTCTGTACCCCATGTTTGTGGGTTGCGATTCCATCCCTCGCGCTGCTTCATCCTCCCCTCACCCTTCGGATGCGGGAGGGGAGCGCAGAGCTGCCTGACTGCCCCCTGCTCCCGATGGATGGATGGGTGCCTTCGGGGCTGCTCTTTTTGGTGGGATTATCCCGGAGCCGTGGCTTCAGGGCCGTCTGCCGGGCGTCCCGGGGCTGCGGGGCCCGGTGCCTTCGGGGCTGCTCTTTTCGGTGGGATTATCCCGGAGACGTGGCTTCAGGGCCGTCTGCCGGGCGTCCCGGGGCTGCGGGGCCCTGGCCATGGGCAGGGACATAAAGGGAGCCTTTCATACCCCTCTGCCGTGCGGGTTCTGGGGGGGATTAGCGTTAATGCTCCAGATGTGGCTGCGGAGAGCGTTCCCCTGGAATTAGAGAGGATGACATTTTCATTGCCTTTCAGCGCCGGCTCTTTGAAAAGCCGTGGGGGCACACTCCGTGCTCTCTCACCGGGGCCTTTCGTTTTTAAGGATCACTTGAGTAACCCAAAACTGGTGAATATCACTACAATAACCTGTAATTTCTCTAAATCACTTTCTGCTACAAGTGCAGGAAGCTTGCCTTTTCTTTTTTTTTTTTTTTCTTATTCTTACCGCAGCTGTGCTCTGAGCAACTCAAATAACACTCGGGATTTATCCCAGCAGTTCACAGAAGGGCTCAGCTCCAAAAATACTTTGATGCACCACACTCTGTTCTTGAGTGGCTTTTCAGGTGGTTTAAGTCCATCTGAAGACTTCAGGGCATAACTTCTGCCTGAACTGTGGAGTTCCAGCGTTCCCCGACTCCCCCTTCCCCGTCACCCTCCCCAGGGGGCTGGTCCCAGGGGCTCTGGGGAACTGCTTGGATCCGGGGTGGTTTTAATCATCAGGTATTGGACTGAGAAGAACCATGTGGACTTTTATTTCTTAAGGTGGAGTAGATTGTTTAAAGAAAAAGGAATTTGGGGAATTAATATTAAGGTGAGCAGACTGTTCACCTGATTGTCCACTTCAGTCCCACCCACCCTGTTTGCAGAGACCAACAGCTCAATTTAAGGAAGGGTTTCTCATTCCACACGGCGCTTTTCGGATGGGATGGTTAGAAAGCAATGCCACGGCGATGGAGCGCTGGGTATTTAAGCCAACAAGGGTAACTTGTCCTAGTTCCTGCTTTCTCAAGTTCATATTTCACCCTTTAAGCTTTTCTCTAATCATTTCCCCTTTGATTTGCAGATGGCTTTCGGAAGGTTGTCCACATTGAGCAGGGAGGATTGGTCAAGCCGGAGAAAGACGATACGGAATTCCAGCATCCCTACTTCATCCGAGGCCAGGAACATCTCCTGGAGAACATCAAGAGGAAAGTAACCAGCGTAAGTTCATGCAGCAGATCCTGCTCTGGATAAACTGGTTAAAAACAGGATTAATCTGAAAAGCACTGGTGTCTTTGGTGCTGGTGGTTATTGATTTACACCAGCAGCTCTTCTGGCTGTCTCTGCCCTCTCGCCCAGACACAGGCTGTGGTGCCATCCTCTAATCAGCCACCTCCAGGTTCTCAGCACCATTTCCTTCTGTTCCAGGACATTTTCTCAATATTTTCAGTATTAGGTTCATTGTGGCACTGCCTGAGACTTCCCCTCTCCCCAAAACCAAATGGGCTGACCTGCTGGAAAGCAGCTCTGAGGAAAAGGACCTGGGAGTCATGGTGGACAACGGGATGTCTGTGAGCCAGCGATGTCATCCTGGGGGGCATCAGGAAGAGTGTCGGGATGCCTGTGAGCCAGCAATGTCATTCTGGGGGGCATCAGGAAGAGTGTGGAGAACCTCCAGGGAGGTCACCCCCCCCTCTGCTCTGCCCTGGGGAGGCCCCAGCTGGAGCTCTGGGACCAGTTGTGGGCTCCCCAGTTGCAGAAGGACAGGGAACTGCTGGAGAGGGGACAGCAAAGGGCTCCAAAGCTGCTTTTGGGCCTGGAGCATCTCTGTGCTGAGGAAAGGCTGAGGGACTTGGGGCTGTTGAGTGTGGAGAAGAGAAGGCTGAGGGGGGGTCTGCTCAAGGCCTCTAAAGACTGGAAGGGGGGGTGTCAGGAGGATGGGGCCAGGCTTTTTCCAGTGGTGCCCAGGGCCAGGAGGAGAGGGACCGGGCCCCAACTGGGACAGGGGAAGTTCCACCTCAAGCTGAGGAGGAGCTTGTTTGGGGTGAGGGTGGCAGAGCCCTGGCAGAGGCTGCCCAGAGAGGGGCTGGAGTCTCCTTCTCTGGAGACATTCCAACCCTGTCACCCTATTGTCCACCGTCATCCTGGTGTCCACCAGAACTCCCAGGTCTTTTTCCTCAGAGCTGCTCTCCAGCAGGTCACCCCCAACCTGTCCTGGTGCAGGGGGTTACTCCTCCCCAGGTGCAGGTCTCTACACTTGCCCTTCCATTCTGCAGGAAGGAAACAGCACTGAGACCTTCCTCTCTGCCTGCAGGTGTCCAGTATAAAGAACGAGGATATAAAGATTCGGCAGGACAACGTCACCAAGTTACTGACGGACATCCAGGTGATGAAAGGAAAGCAGGAGAGCATGGACTCCAAGCTGATAGCCATGAAGCAGTATGTATGTGGGGAGGGGCTGGCAGAACATGCAGCAGAGTTTGTCCAGTGGTTTCCTTCCCCAACACCTTATTTTTAAGACTTTATGTGAGAGGAGGCCGGTTGCTGTGTGCTTGCTCGCAGCTCCAGCCTTCCCAGGAGTTCAGCTTTCAGAGCTTTCTGCTTAGGGCAAGGAGGGGGTGGTGGAGGGACCTTTTGAACACAATTAAAACCCACTCAAGACCTTGGTGTCACAGCAGGAGAGCTGTGACTCCAGCCACAGCATGAAGCTTTTCTGGAGGTGTTGGGTGGAAAATCTGTGGCGACTTCAGGAACGTCCTTCCCCGCCGGGGGTGACAATCTGAAATCTCAGTCGGTGTGTGGTGCTGTGCCTTTCCCTTGGGATTACTTTTTTATCACAACTGTTCTGTCTTGTCTGACGCTGCACCTGGATATTGAAGACATTTGGGATAACATGTGCTGTCCTTCTCTTCTAATCCCATATTCTTCCTCCAGGCTCTTGACTTCTTACCTGCACCCTGTTAAATTCTCTCTGGGTGCTCCTCACTGGGTTAAATTCTCTCTGGGTGCTGCTCACCCAGCTCTTGCTGTGGGGCTGGGAGGCAAAACGGGTGATCTCAAGTCCCACTAATAAATCCATGCATTTAGAGACCATTGGGGTGCTGTTGCTCATCACCCTTCTATGACTTATGTCCATGGTGGTCACACAGAGGAAGGTATTTCTTGTTCTTCATTACCACAGCAGGACCTGGCTGCCCTCCCAGGCAGCAGGGGCTGGGAATTATCTGGGACTCACTAAACTCCCAGTTGCCTTTAAGTGTAGAAACCTGTTGGGGCCAATGAATACGGGGATGGAAGCGTCTAATTCCCTTTGGCGCCGTTACAAATCGTGATTTAAAGCTGCTCTTCTTATTTTCTTGTTTACCTTTCTGCAAAGTGAAGTTTTCTGCGTCAGTGAAGTTTATTTTATGCCTGGCTTCTTCACCCCTGCCATCATTTCTAAGGAATTTGGGTCTGGGTGGGACAGAAAATGGAGCAGGTACCCCCCGTTCTCGCTGGATGAAGCAGAAAACCAGGATGGGGGATTTTGAAGGCTCAGTTTCACAGTGGAAAAAGTATTTCCTCCACACTGTGTTCCAAAACCTGCCTTTTGGGTTTCCTGACTCTACCTTGTGCTTTCAGATTGCTTCTCTGGCACCTCTGGTGCTCACAGGAGGGGAGAGAACCTGCTTCATCCCCAGGGTCATTCTAGATGATTCTCTTCATCTTCTATTTGCCCCAGTTGTGAGCCCCCAGCCTTCCCTCCAGGGCTTCTGTGCTTCTCCTTGGGCTCTGTGCAGGGGAGGAAGAGAAGTAGGTTGTCCTTCTAAACCCTTGGTGAATCATAGAATGGTTTGGGTGGGAAGGGACTTCTAAGAACATCCAGTTCAATCCAGGGACACCTCCCACCAGCCCAGGTTGCTCCAAGCCCCCTCCAACCTGCCCTTGAACCCCTCCAGGGATGGGGCAGCCACAGCTTCTCTGGGCAGCTGAGAAACTTCTCTGAACTGCTGTTAAATCCCCAAGAGGGTCAACTTGTGTATCCCTGGATGGGAAGCCATTTTTACCACTTTCTTGGAAAATCAGCCACCCCAGACAATTAGTTTTGCCCCAGGCTGTGATCCATCTTTTGGCAGCCCCGCTCCCAGCCATCAGCCCAACTGGTTCGTATGGAGGCTCCTGCTTTTGCACCTTTGTTTTCTGTCCACAGGAGGAAGAATAAGCACCATTGAGCCATTTTTTAACCCCAGTCTTGGGGTCCCACCACGTGGGGCTCATCTAAATTCCCGTGCCTCTTGCAGCCCTGTGGTGTGTTCTGAGGTTCGTACCCCTGTGCTCCGGGGAGTGTTGACAAAGGCACTGCCCTCTGCCTGCTCCGTTGGCTCTTGCCGAAGCAACCATTAGCATTATTAATTATCAATGGTCTGTAAACCACTAGGTGGAGTGCCTACAGCGGCCATTGGAGCTCTGCTCACAGCAGAGAACTGACAACCTCCCCCAAAGCAGCAAAGCTCCCCCCCCACCCCCATCCTTCAAGGAAGATCGTTATTGGCCAATTAATAATGTGGTGTGCATTTTTTTGAAAGCTTATCAGATAAAGTGGCTCCTGTAGGAGTGAAGGCCCAGCTGGATGCTCTCCGGAGTGTGCCCAGGGGGCCAAGGTGGCCAACAGCCTCCTGGCCTGTATCAGGCTGCAGCCGCCACAGCTTCTCTGGCCAACCTGGGCCAGGCTCTCACCACCCTCACACCAAACAAGTTCTTCCCCAGATCTCACCTAAATCTCCCCTCTTTCAGTGTCAAACCCTTCCCCCTCGTCCTGTGGCTCCCCTCCCTCATCAAGAGTCCCTCCCCAGCTTTCCTGGAGCCCCTTGAGGGACTGGAAGGGGCTCTAAGGTCTCCCTGGAGCCTTCTCTTCTCCAGGCTGAATCACAGAATCATAGAATGGTTTGGGCTGAAGGGACCTTTAAAGGCCATCAAGTGTCCTCTCCCACCAGAACAGGTTGCTCCAAGCCCCCTCCAACCTGGCCTTGAACCCCTCCAGGGATGGGGCAGCCACAGCTTCCCTCTGGCTCTTCTTCATCTGCTCCATCGTGCTCCTCCAGCGAAGGGCTCTGGTGTGTGACCAAGGTGTCTTCCTGAAACACTCCATTCTTAATTATGTTTTTTTCCTGTCCAAAGGTGTATTTTGAATCAGGGGAAGGGGGGAGTGGCTGCTTTAGCCAAACACACCAGGTGTAATTTATATTAAGCTGCTTTGCTGGCATAAAAAAGGGTGTGCGGTCACGGCTCGTCTTCTATCGAAGGAAGCTCTTTGGAGAGGATGGGAAATGCATCTGGGTTGAGGCTGGGAGAGGGAAAGCTCTTCTGGGGGGGTGGGGGGCTACAAATTGGATATGGTCTTTGGCACATCCAATATAACACTCGTAGGAAATGTCTTTTTATTGCCCGGCTGTGAACGGACCAGCTCAAATCTTCTCGTATCGACTCAGAACGTTCTAAGTGAAAGAGTGAGGAACACAACCAAACCCTCCCCGCCGTTAGATAATAACCTGGATAATAATAATAGATGATAATAATCTGGGGGATGTTGTGTGGGTCTCCAGCACTGGCAGCAGAGGTGGAAAACACATAAACTGAACTTTGGATGTTGAAATATTTATTCTTCCTGGTCAGTGGCTCCTTCAGGAGGATGGGATGGACCTCACTTGGTGACGTTTGGTTCCTCTTCCCTTCTCCACTCCGAGTCTGGCATACTTTGGGGGGTGTTAGTTTTAGGATGTTTTTTTTTTGCTTCTCCCGTAAAACAGAAGTAACTTGTCGTCTTCTAGGTATTTTATGGGCCTCTGCAGATTTTTAATTTATTTTCTTTTTTTTAAAACAAGGCAAGTCCTTTTAAAACAAGGCAAGCTACAGGTGAAACAAGTGTCTGAGCTGACACCACTTCAGGAAAGACGCTGATGCTCTTTTAGCCTCCTGCCTTTCTGGCTTGTGGAGCTAAGGGTGGCATTGCAGCACGGTTTCTTTGTCTTTCTAGTTACCTCAGAGAGAAAGATGTGCAAAAAGAGCAAATCTTCTCATTCCTGGGAGCATAAAGCTCCCTTTCCTCTTGCTGGAGAAACAAGGAGTCTCCTGTCACTCTGTGGCTGCTCCTGGCTGAAGGGCTGGAACCGTGTCTCTGGGCTTGGTTCTTGCTCCTCTGTTCTTCTCAGCTGCTTTTTCAGACAGTTAAACCATCTGAAAATTCCTCCTTCTGCTGATTGGTTTTTTCCCCTGTTTTAGCATGAGGTGAAGTTTATTGGAGCGTATGAAGACAACCCCTTTGGGTCTTTCTGTGTCGATGGAATAAGTCGCAGTGCAAGGCCTTGGATTTTGGGTTTGGTTTTGTGCTCTACTTCCACCAGCTTATTCCAACACATCCCTCTCATTCCCCTCTTCTCTAAATCATGGCATCTCCTGCCAGTCTGGTGTAGAAGCCATTCTTTGAAGCTCGAGGTACTCAGCAGCTGGAATAACCTGCAGCTCAGACACTTGGGTTTCCCAAAAGCAAAGCTCAAGGTGACCGGTCAATGCCATGAACCTTCTCGGAGCTGGGCCACCAAGGCTTTGGGACAACGCTCTGGGACAGCTCTGGCTCTTCCCCACTGGCCTCAGCATCATCACTCATTGATCGCCTTCTCTAACGGCTTTGTGCTGGTCTTTGGGAAGGGGTTGGAAAGTGGCTTTTTTGCTCAGCAGTTTCTTATCAGGCCCAAGGCTTTGCTGGAACATCCATCAACAGGTTGGCTGTAGCAAGTCATCTTGATACCGTTACCCAAAGGCCTTATTCACCAACAGCTCCTCTCCTGGTTGGTTCTCACATGAAAGGTTTTGTGTTAAAAGCGCGACTATTAGTGTCTTTTCTATTTCTGGTTGTGTTTATCTTCTCGTATTTTAAAATCAGAAAGTCATGAGGAACCACCATTGGAGAAGGGCTGGGACCCCCACCGGCAGCCGCTTGGACTCCGTCCCTGGGGCGACACGGCGCAGCGGAGCGGGGTTATTAATTACACGACAATTTGCGCAGGTTCCTGACCTAGAATTTCTGCAGTTTCTTTTGGCTTCCGTTCTGCTTTCTCAGCTTCTGAAGCAGTGACTCATCGAAGCCAAATGTTTTCTTCTGGGGTTTTTAACTTGGGAAGTGGTTGGATTTCAAGCTGACAGTTGCCATTAAAGCTGGCTCCAGCCGTGTCCGGGACCGGGCAGCCTTTAACTGAGGGTGACCTTCCTTCCCAGCCCCGGCTCTCTCAGTGGTTTTTGGTAATTCCTCCTCTCTTGTGACCATCCCTGGAAGTGTTTAAAAGACGGGTTGACGTAGTGCTTAGTGACATGGTTTGGTGATGGTTTTTATCAGAGTTAGGTTGATGGTTGGACTAGATAATCTTGAAGGTCCCTTCCAACCTGGACAATTCTGTGATCTATGA